GGACCTCCAGGAATGGGTAATGGGAGCTGCACTACCAGCTGGACCCTCCAGGAATGGGTAATGGGAGCTGAGTACCAGCTGGACCTTCCAGCAATGGGTAATGGGAGCTGCAGTGCCAGCTGGACCTCCAGAAATGGGTAACGGGAGCTGAGTACCAGCTGGAACCTCCAGGAATGGGTAATGGGAGCTGAGTACCAGCTAGACCCTCCAGGAATGGGTAATGGGAGCTGAAGTACCAGCTGGACCTCTAGAAATGGGTAATGGGAGGTGCAGGGCCAGCTGGACCTCCAGCAATGGGTAATTGGAGCTGAGTAGCAGCTGGACCTCCAGCAATGAGTAATGGGAGCTCAGTACCAGCTGGACCCTCCAGCAAAGGGAAATGTGTCCAGGACAGACAGTCAGTGGCAGTGGGGGCGAGAGATGCCCATGTGCCTTTGGGCCACCCAGACAGCAATTCCAAACCAGGTGGCCTCAAACCCCTCGGATCCATAGTGGCCGTGGGGGATTGGTGATTGAGAGTCAGCGACAGAGAGGGGAGGAGGGTCCTCTACTCTGCTGCCCACCAGGACACCCCCCACCCCAGACCCTCCACCAGCTGGGGAACAAGGAGAGGCTTCTGGAAGAAATGTGTCCCCCAACCCCCAGGCTCCACCCACCACAGACTCCAGCTTTGCGGTGGATGGAAGGGAATCAGCCCTTCGTGAACGAGAGATGGGGTGGGTTAACCCTGACCGCACTCATAGGGAGATCTGGACTGGGACTTGTGAAAAACTTTCTAAGTGGAGGAAAATGGACCTTCTGTTGTGTTGTTTTCATAGGGCCATAAAGATGGCAGCGGCCATAAACCGGTGAGTGAAACTGCCTTCCAATGTCCGTCCTGTAGCTTAACCCTAAAATGCCCTGCAGAAGAGTGCAACGCAAAGATAAACTTGGTCCAGGTGGGGCTGGGATGGAGGAGATGGGGATCTGGGTCCCAGAGGATGGAGGGATCCCAAGAATACGAGCAGGTCAGTGGGTAGGACTCCCAAGAACCCCATCTGGGTGGGGACGCCCTTGTCCTGACCACTTATGCCCTACTGGCTGAAGTGAGTTACATTCATTGTATGCAGCTGATCTTCACATTGTGTTCCTCTGCCATCCATCCTGGGTCAAGACAAATTTTCATTGAATGTCTGAGGATATTGTTTCTTTCTTCAAAATGCCTCTGAGATAGATCATTAAATGACTTTGGTGTGATATTTTCTCAGTCTCCTCACCTCTCTGACCCTCAATATCCTCCCTCCTAAAATGAGGGTGTTCAGTATGGGGATCTTAACGTCCCTTTTAGGTCTCTCTGTTTAGGGTCTCTATGAGTCGGAATCGACTAGATGGTTTCATTTATGGTGCAAATGGTGAACGAGCTCAGCTGCTAAACAAAAGCTTGGAGGTTTGAGTCCACTCAGAGGCGCCTCGGAAGAAAGACCTGGTGCTCTATTTCTAAAAAGTTAGCCACTGAAAACCCTATAGAGCACAGTTCTACTCTAACACACTTGGGTCATCATGAGTCAGAGTCAACTTAATGGAAACTTTTTGTTTGCTTGTTTACGGATCTATCAAGAAGCCCTGTTGGGTAAGCACTTGGCTGCTAACCAAAATGTTGGTGGTTCATATGTACCCGGCAGCTCTGAGGGAAAAAGAGCTCTGCGGAGTGATCTGTTTCCATAAAGATTACAGCAAGAAAACCCTTTGGGGCAGTTTTACTCTGCCTCGTGGGGCCTTTACGAGTCCAAATCCACTCAATGGCACCCCAACAACAACGAAAACATGGGTATACCAGTACTCATTCACTGCCCCAGCATGGTTTCTGTATCTGTATTTACACTCCTACGGGCCCCAGGAATGGTTATCTGGTGAATGAATAAAACATTCACTGCGGTTGTTCACTCCAACCTTCCTGCAAACATTTCAGCATGTAAAAATGTACATTAATGTTAAGAACTGCATGTTTCTAAATAACAATAAGATCCAGTAATAGGATTTAAAGGTGTTGCTTTGTTAACAGAATTTCTCTTTCCTTCTATGATTTTCATGCCTAGATTGACAAAGCGTGGTTTTAAATCTTGTTAATTTCAGCTGTGCAATTTAAAAGACTTCTTTCTCTGCCGTCCTGTCTTTTCACAACCTAAGTGGTAACTACTGTCATCTTTCTGTGTTTATCCAAAGATTCCTATTCCTGGTAATTTGGGAAATAAGCACAGCTTTTCAATCAACCCAACAGCAAGATACACGGTCAGAATCAGAACTGCAAACTCCCGGATCCTTCATTGGGGTCCCTGGAGCGAGCCTGTAGAGTTTGGTGAGTGTGCTCAGAGCGTGTTCCCTGGAGGGAAAGGGCCATGCTGGGTGGACATCAGGGGCAGCTGTGACATCTGACACTACTGGGGGAGACAGATGTTAGAGAGAGAGATAGATAGATAGAGAGAGGGATAGAGAGATGGATGGATGGATGGATGGATAAATAGGTAGGTAGATAGATGATAGATAGGTAGGTAGATGATAGACAGATAGATAGATAATAGATAGACTCACAGATGATAGATAATAGATAGGCAGATAGATAGATAGATAATAGATAGGTAGATAGACCATGGATAGACTGATAGATGATAGATGGATGGATGGATGGATGGATAGATAGGTAGGTAGATGATAAACGGACTGATAGATGATAGATGGACAGACAGACAGATACAAATGGATGGATAGAAGAGATAGACGGATGGATAGATAACTAGGTAGATGAGAAAATAGAGATGTGTGTCTACACAAAAGTACATTCATGTAATTCCTATTCCTCCCTCAGGAGGGTCCGGGAAGTGAGCCCCTAGAGTTCGGTAAGTGGGCTGCAAGAGGAGTGTGTTTACTTGGAGGCAAGCACCCTGCTGGGTGGACATCAGGGGCAGCTGTGACGTGTGAACTAGCCAGGAAATGAACTAGCCGTGCGTTGACACTTGATCATAGATGTGTGCCTTGCGTTTCACGCTCTCTCGACAGGCTTTGAAGAAGGAGAAGCCAGCCCCAAGTACGTCTATGTACTGGTGGTCCTGGGGACCCTCCTCGGCGCCCTGCTCATTGGGTTTCTTTTTAAAAGGTAACACTGCCAGCAATGTGGGACTTTTCAGGGTTAAACCTAGAACTACCATGTGACGAGCAATCTCACTCCTGGGTGTAGGGTTGAAAACAGATACAAGAGAATTGAAAACAGATACATGGGCACCAAGGTTCATGGCAGCACTATTCATAATAGACAGAAGGTGGAAACAACCAAGTGTCAGCCAACAGACGAATGGATACACACGATGGGGTCCATCCACACAACGCAATATGCCTCAGCCGTAAAGACAGAGCCTGGTGGCGCAGTGCTTAAGAGCTCGGCTGCTAACCAAAAGGTCGGCAGTTGGAATTCATCAGCCGCTCCTTGGAACCCTGCGGGGCAGTTCTGCTCTGTCCTCTAGGGTTGCTATGAGTCTGAATCAACTTGACGGCAATGGGTTGGGTTTTTTTGGTTTATGAAGAGAAATGAAGTTTGGATACATGCTACAGCATGGATGAACTTTGACTCCTTATGCTGAGCAGAATAAGTCAGACACAAAAGGACAGCCAAAGATTAGACAGCCCCATAAAACAAAACGAGACTAATGGGGCACAACAGTCCAGGGACAAAGACTAGAAGGCAGGAGGGGACAGGAAAGCTGGTAATGGGGAACCCAAGGCTGAGAAGGGACAGTGTTGACATGTCGTGGGATTGTTAACCCATTGTCATAAAACAATATGTGTTCTGTTTTTAAAAAGAAATACAGCCTTGGAAACTCTATGGGGCAGTTCTACTGTGTCGCATGGGGTCACTGTGAGTCAGAATGGACTCCATGGCACCCAACAACCACACCAGGTAATGTCAGGAAGGCCAGACACAGACACACGGCTTTGTGGCACATCCACGTGTTGACATGTCACACATCCCTACAGGCGCCAGAAATATCAAAGGGATCGTTGATAAGTAAGACACTGAAGTTGGCAACAAGAAAGGGGCTGTTAGCCCCACAATCTTTTCTTAAATAATTTGTTGCTGTGAGTTGCTGTCAAGTGAAGACACCCTTTTAGCTCAGTAGTGAAGTCACTCCCAAGGTTCACTCTTCAGCCAGAGATTAGACAGCCCCATAAAACAAAATGGCACTGATGAGGCACAGCAGTCCAAGAACAAAGACTAGAAGGCAGAAGGGGACAGGAAAGCTGGTGACAGAGATCCCAAGGTTGAGAAAGGACAGTGTTGACATGTCATGGGGTTGTTAACCATTGTCATAGGGCAATACGCATACTAACTGCTTAATGAGAAACTGTTTGTTCTGTAAACCTTTATTAAAAAAAAAAAGACAAAAGCTGTATGATCTCACTTATCTGAAATACTTAGAACAGAGAAATGCACAGAGAGGAGAGTACATTGGTGGTGACCAGGGACTTGGGGGAGAGGAGAATGGGCGGTACAGCTGAAGGGGGACTGAGTTCTGTCTGAGCTGGTGGAAGACTTTTGGGAATGGATGGCGGTGATGGCGGCACAACAGAGTGAGTGTAATTAATGCCGCTGAACTGGGTGCACTCAAAAAGTGGTTACCATGGCAAATGTTCTGTGGGGTGTGTGTGTGTGTGTGTGCGTGTGTGTGTGTGTGGTGGTGGTGGTGGTGGTGGTGGTGGTTGCTGTTGATTCCAACTCATGGGGACCCCGTGTGTTACAAGGCAGAACTGCTCCATAGGGTTTTCTTGGCTGTAATCTTCATGGAAGCAGATCACCAGGCCTTTCTTCTGCAACATCGCTGGGTGGGTTCCAATCACCAGCCTTTAGGTTAGCAGTAGAGCACAAACCATTTGTACAACCTTAGTACAAATGTGTGTATGCATAATATAATACAGTGTTGTGTTATATATTATATTATTGTTACATTACATTACACTGCACTGCACGACACTGCATTATATTATATTACATTATATTACAATACATTACATTACATTATATTATATCACATTATATTTGGACCAATAAGCAACATCCTGATAAATGTAGAAAAGACTGAAGTTGTCAAGGATTTCATTTTACTTGGATCCACAATCCACACCCATGGAAGCAGCAGTCAAGAAATCAAACAGGAAGCAGCAGTCAAGAAATCAAACAGCACATTGCATTGGGCAAATCTGCTGCAAAAGACCTCTTCAAAGTGTTAAAAAGCAAAGATGTCACTTGGAGGACTAAGGCATGCCTGACCCGAGCCATGGTATTTTTCAGTCACCTCATACACATGCAAAAGCTGAACAATGAATAAGGAAGACCGAAGAAGAATTGATGCCTTTGAATTACGGTGTTGGTGAAGAATAGTGAATATACCACGGACTGCCAAAAGAACAAATCTGTCTTGGAAGAAGTACAACCAGAATGCTTCTTAGAAGCAAGGATGGCGAGACTTTGTCTCGCATACTTTGGACATATTGTCAGGAGGGATCAGTCCCTGGAGAAGGACATCATGCTTAGTAAAGTACAGAGTCAGCAAAAAAGAGGAAGATCCTCAACAGATGGATTGACCCAGTGGCCTCAACAGTGGGCTCAAGCATAACAACAATCATCAGGATGGCGCAGGACCAGGCAGCGTTTCGTTCTGTGCTGCATGCCGAGCAGAGTGGCAGGCGGAGGCGTGTAGAGCTGGATCAAAACCATCTGTTGTTAGCTGCCACTCTGGGGCTTTCTAACCTTTTAATGGCAGGGACGCCTGGGTTCGGCCAAGCTGCCATGACTGCCATGTACCCCTTTCCATCCCTGTGCCCAAAGGACTTAGAATTCTACAAAGATTCCTCACGGGCATCACCATGTATCCTTCTGTTGTTGTTAGTTGCTGTCGAGTCATTTCCCACTCAAGGCGATCCCACGTGTGCAGAGCAGAGCTGTGCTCCATAGGGTTTTCAAGGCCGTGACTTTTCGGAAGCAGATCACCAGCTCTTTCTTCTGAGGTGCCCCCGGGTGGACTCGAACCTCTAACCTTTCAATCAGCAGCCGAGCACGTTAACCATTGTGCCACCCAAGGCCTCCATGGACCCGTCGTAGCTCCTAGTGTCTCCGTTATCCAGGTATTTGGTCTTTCTGTGATTCTTAAATGAAGCTGTTCTGAAGGTTTAGGGCCGGGTGTTGTTAAGATGGCACAGCACAATGTGACCAGGTGGGACATGAAGACGCTGGGGCATCCAGACCTTCTCTTCACCCCTTTCTTGGTGCCACTAGGTTCCTCGTGATGCACGCTTTATTCCCTCCAATTCCGAAGATCAAAGATAAACTGAACGACAACCAGGAAACAGGCCTGCAGGTGAATGGGGGCGGGCAGAGGAACATGGGAAGGGGAGAGCAGTAATCCCTGTGGTCCCCTTAATGCCCCCCCACCATGTGGACCATAGCACCATCACTCATTGTGGCCGGAATCCTGGGTCCTGCTCAAGGACCTTCCTCTGGGGTCAGAGGTGGGGTCTTCTCTATGAGCTGTGTCTGGGGAAGCTGAGAGAGAGAGAGGAGTAGAGAGACAGAGAGAGAGGATGGGAGAGAGTGGGGAGAAGGAAGAGAGGGGACTACAAAGAAGAGAGAGAGACGAGGGGAAGGGAAGAAAGGAAGAGAAAGAGGAGAGAGAGACAGAGCGGGTGTGACAGAGACACAGAGACAGACAGAGACTGAGAGAGATATGAGAGAGAAAGAGAGGAGGGGGAAAGAGAAGAGAGAAGGGGCTACAGAGGAGAGAGAGAGGGAAGGGGAAAAAGAGTAACAGAGAGAGCTAAAAAGACAGAGAGAGGGACAGAGACACAGGGAGACAGATCGACAGACAGAGAGAGAGATAGAGAAGCAGAAGAGAGACAGAGGAGTAGGGAAACAGAGAAAAAGACAGCAGAGAGAGAGAGGAGAACACAGATACAGGGAGACAGACAGAGAGATAGAGAAGCAGAGAGAGAGAGAGCTCAGATCCGGCCTTGTGGGGGTGACCAGCGTGGCTGGAGGAGGACAGCACAGGCTCACCTCTGCCCCGAGAACCCATTTGTCACACCGTCCTGCCCCAGCCCAGGGCTGCCTTCCACGGGCTGTCCCCCAGAGTGCCCCTCAGTCCTCCCCCCACCACTGTCCCTCCATTGCCTCCAGCTGTGCTGACCCCCTGCAGGCACCACTTTCCCTGGCCGACACTCCCCAGTCCACTCTCTGCCCTGACCTCCGGGGCCCACCCAGCCCAGCCCCAGGCCCTGCCATTTTGTCCCTCCTCGACCTCCAAGCCCTCTGTGGCCTCAGGGCCTTTGCACTGGCTGTGCCCACTCGGGATCTCACTTCCCACAGCGGCTCCTGAACTTCCTTCAGGGGTCAGCTTAAACGTCTCCCTCAGGGGACACACATGCAGCAGTTCACAACACTCTGGGCTTGTTCAACACCCCACGCCCGCTCTCCCTCCTCCCCAGGTCAGCTGGAACGAGCTTATGCCGGGCACAGGAAAAGCTGAGAATGAAGAGGTCATCACGGTGGAAGAAGTCGCGTGAGCCTCAGCCGCCCCAGTGAGATGTGAATCTACCCATACCTCCACCCCGAGACTCCCAGAACTTGTGTTTCTATCATGTTTTGTGGCTTTATGCAGTTTTCTATTTTTTTACTTATAAAAATGTGACATTCTACAGAGATGCTTGGAATCCTAGAGACCATTCAATCCCCTTCGAACCTGATGACATAAATCTCAGCCTAGATCCTCCACAAAGAGCTTGTTGTTGTTTTGTTAATTGCCTTCAAGTCGGCTCCAACTCATGGCGACCCCACGCACAACAGAATGAAACACTGCCCGGTCCTGCGCCACCTTCACGATCGTTGGTCTGCTCAAGTCCTTTGTTAAGGCCACTGTGTATTTTGAGTGAGTTCCAGCCGAGGGGGCTCATCTTCCAGCTCTATATCGAACGAAGTTCTGTTGTGATCCGTAGGGTTTTCGTTGGCTGATTTTCATAAGTAGATGGCGAGGTCTTTCTTCCTAGTCTGTTTTAGTCTGGAAGCTCTGCCTAAACCTGTCCACCATGGGTCACCCTGCTGGTATTCGATATACCAGTAGTATAGCTTCCAGCATCACAGCAACACACAAGCCACCACAGTGCAACACACTGACAGATGGAGGGTCCGGCTGGATGGGGCTATGACGTCCACTCAGTGCTCAGGGGCAGATGGACACCCAGCCACTTGTCTCTGGCCGGGCGAAAGGCTGGTGCAGATGCTTGTGGGCAGGACTGCAGATGGGGAGCAGAAGGCTGTTCTTTGTTCGCCGGGAGATAGCTGCTACAGAAACTGGAGGAACTTGTTTGCCTCCTCACCATTGCTCAACAGGAGGGCCCAGGCAGCCTAGCTGGGGTGGGAGGGTGCAGCTAGTCTCACCCCAGAGGCAACAGAGTCCTGTCTCTACCTATGTTTTCTTAAGGCCTTCAACTGATTGCACCAGGCCCACCCACATTATGGAGGGTGATCGTCTTTACTAGGAGTCAACTGATTTAACAGTTGTTGTCGGGTGTTGTTGTATCCATTTCAGCTCATACAACCTCATCGGATGGAGTTGAACTGCCCAACAGAGTTTGTCTGTTTGTTTTTAATACACCTTCTTCTTATTTATCCACTATCTTGTCATCTGACGTTCTGCATTTACGACAATAGTAAAAAATTTACCGACTACTTTGCACATTAATGATGTACATCTGACGATAACAAATGCTGAGGTGTGAGATGAGAGTAATGCTACCTGTGATGGTTAAAGTTATGTGTCAGCTTGGCTGGACCATGATTGTCAGTGGTTTGGCAGTTATGTAATGATGTCGTTTGGCAGTTATGTAATGATGTGGTCATCCTCCATTTTCATGTAACACTAATTTCGCATAAGTACCTGGTCTTTGGAAAGTAACAATGTCGCTAAGTGAGGAGAGGGTGTGATATTTTATTGTGTTTTCGGTGAAGGTTTATATAGCAGTTTAGGTTCCCATTCAACAATTTCTACACAAATTGGTCAGTGACATTGGCTACGTTCTTCACAACGTGTGAACATTCTCATTGTTTCCACTCTGGTTGTTCCATTTCCACTCATCTCGTTTCCCTGCCCCCTTACCTTCTCATCTTTGTTTTAAAGTAATTGTTGACCGTTCGGTCTCATGCAGATGATTTTTTTTTTAAAGGAACACAGTACTCATGGGTGATAGTCTTTATTTTGTGAGTCAATCTGTTATTTTGCTACAAGGTGACCTCAGGGGCCCATGGATTTCCTAGGCTGCAAACTTTACAGGAGTAGATTACCAGCTCTTTCTCCTGTGGAGCTGCTGGGTGGGTTCAAGCCACCAATCTTCTGGTTAGCAGCCGAGTGCTTAATCATTGCGCCACCAGGACTCCTTCTCACATGACAAAAATACTTCGACATCTAAACTAGTGTTTGACCAAATACCTGGGCACCATGTCCAGGCCAAGTGGTCACACAGAGTTAACCATCACAAAACCAAACAAACCCATTGCCTTTGGCTCGTGGTGACCCCATCTGTTCTATGTGCCCCTCCGGGATCAGACTTGTCTTTGAGGAGACTCCATCCTTCCCTCCCTGGTTAGGGGCCATGTGAAGAATTCTGCTCATCCGAAAGGAGGCCAAGCCTTGCCCTCAGCTACTGGGCAGTGGCCTCTGGGCTTCCAGAATGTTCTGTCTGGTGGGAGCATCTTTGTTGGTCTAGTGGTCTTGGCTCCCGGACAGCTTAAGGGTGAGATTTATGAGGAGGGCTTTGGGTCACAAAGTATCAGTTCTGACCTCCAGGAGGGGCTGGAGACTAAGGTCAGCCCCACGGGCAGTGTGAGATGGGGCCCTGTGGAGACTCTGGACACCAGGGCTCAGGGGAGCATCCCTGGCTGGTGATACTCCATGCGTATGGTCACACATTGTGCTGGGAGGGGGGAACCCGACCCCCGGCTCCACAGGCAGAGGACATCAGACTCTGCCCCATACATCCCTTCCCTGAGTGGACTTTAACCTGCATCTGTGATGGTTAAGGGTCCTGGGGTGGTGCAAATGCCTACGGTTCACATTTAACCTTACGTTAGTGCAAGACAGGAGCCCTGGCGGTGCAGTGGTTAAGAGCTCAGCTGCTCACCAAAAGGTCAACAGTTTGAGCCCACCAGCCGCTCCTTGGAAACCCGAAGGGGCAGTTCTACTCTGTCCTATAGGGTCGCTATGAGTCAGAATCAACTCCACGGGAAAGGGCTTTTTATGGGCAATAACCAAAGGGTTAGTGGTTCGAACCCACCCAGAGGCGCCACGGAAGAAAGGCTTGGTGATCTGCTTCCATAAAGATTATAGTCAAGAAAACCCTTTGGAGCTCAGCTCTACTCCACAATACATGGGCTCACCATGAGTCAGAATTTAGTCCAAGGCAATGGATTTGGTTTTTCAGGGGTTGTTTTGGTTTATTTGTTTAGCAACATCTAGAACAATAGATGGAGCCCTAGCGCCACAGTGGTTAACAGCTCAGCTGCTAACCAAAAGGTCAGCAGTTTGAATCCACCAGCCATTCCTTGGAAACTTTACGGGCAGTTCTACTCTGTCCTATAGGGTCACTATGAGTCATAATCGACTCGATGACGATGAGTTTTTACGAGTGGCACAACATTTAAGCACTCAGCTGTTCAGCAAAGGTCAGCAGTTCAGACCCACCCAGTGGCCCCGCAGGAGGAAGACCTGGTGATCTGCTCCCATAAAGATCATAGCCTAGGAAATCCTATGGGGCAGTTCTACTGTGTCACATGGGGTGGCTGTGAATTGAAAATCTACTCCAAGGCACCCAACAACAACAATTACCCACGCCCTGCCCCAGCACACCCAACACCAAGCTCCCAGTTGCTTAACACCAGCTGGCAAAACTGCCAGAGGGTCCGCGGTTGGTCTCCTTTCTAAGCAGCTCCATCGAGCAGCCTCTCTTGGGATAAGGACTTCCTATCTCCCCGAAGGAAACGCTGTGGTCACGGCAGAGCTTCTGTGAGCTTCGTCTGAGAAGAATGTTCTGGGTTCCCGGGAGAAGGAAGAGAGCTTGGGAAAGGAAGAGAGCTTGGGAAACCAAGAGATCCAGTTTGGATTTCAGCAACCCTTGTCCACTTTAAGATGGGGGTCTCTGCCAGGCTTCACAATCAAAAAAAGAAAAAAGAAAAACCAAACTCATTGCCTTCGAGTTGACTCTGACTCAGAGCGACCCTCCAGGGCAGAGTAGAACTGCCCCATAGGGTTTCCAAGGAGTGCCTGGTGGATTCAAACTGCTGACGTTTTGGTTAGCAGCCATAGCTCTTAACAACAGGCTTCACAACAGTTCTAGGGATTTTCCAGCTCCTTCCTCTCTGCCCCCACCTGCCTGCCCCGGTGGGGGAAGAGTCAGCCCAGTAAGTAGAGATCATTCATGTGACCTCGTCTTAATTCCCTAGCCCTCCTGTAACAGAAATACCACAAGCGGGTGGCTTGAAAGAACAGACATTTATTTTCTCACAGTTCAGGAGGCTGGAAGTCTGAATTCAGGGCACCGGCTCTATGGGAAGGCTCTCTCTCTGTGGGCTCTGGGGGAAGGTCTTTGTCCCCTCCTTTCAGCTTCTGTTCCATGACGATCTCTACGGGGCATCTATCTTCCCCTATCTGTGCCGGCTTGTCTCCGTGTCTAATCTGTTCTTTTTATACCTCAGAAGTGATTAGTGATCCTAAATGGATATGACCTAATTAACATAATCAAGAAAACCCGATTCCCAAATGGGAGGACATCCACAGGTATGTTGCTGGGTGCCCTCAAGTAGATTCCCACCCATAATTACCCTAGAGGACAGCGTAGGACTGCCCCATAGTGTTTCTTAGGGTGTCATCATTCCGGGAGTAGATCAACACGTCTTCCTTCCAACAGAGCCTCCACTGGGTTTAAACTTTTGAACTTTGGGGCTAGCAGCCGAGCACTTAACTGATGTGCCACCAGGGCTCCCTTCCACACGTAGAGGGGTGAGGATTTAGAACACATATTTTGGGGGACACAATTCAATCCATAACACCTCCCCTTCTTAATTCCTCTCACACGTTACCCCTGAACTCTCCTGGTGCCTAAATCCCCACCTCCAAGGGTCCTGCTTTCGGCTGACAGTTCTCCACTCTGAGCAAACAGGTCTGAGAGGCCCGAAGGCTGCCCTGCCGTCCAGTCGCCTGCCCCAAGGAGGCCAGAGCGGAAGGCAGGATCTGGGTGCAGTGGGGGCAGGGAAGAGCTGCCAGTGTCAGGGGCACGGGCAGGGGTGAGGGGGGAAAGGAGACCTGAAAAGTACCAAATGCAGCTTCTGCTACGTTAAAATTTGCCCTGGAATGGCCCAGATAGGGAAAAACGTTCTGTGAATAGAAAAATAAAGCTTTTCTGCACAGTTATCCATCAGCAACTAATAGGAACAAGACATGCAAATAAAATTGCAAAATAGAAACATTTTATGTGTATGCTTCCCACTTTCTGTTCCCCTTTTCTTCTCTATCCGGCCTCCCATGTCTCCCTCCCCCTGACTTTTAACATCTATTAAGTACTGACTTCCTGCACTTAGGGGAGGATTTGATATCAGTCACTATCACTTTAGTATGAATTAGAAACCATCCTCTCAGAGTATTATGCACTTTGTTCTTAGGCTTCAGTGTGAAAAATAGGGTTTGTTCTGTTGTAGGGGAAAAACATCGTAAAGTTTAGTAAAGCGAAAAGAAAGTTTTATTCGGCATATATTCAAAAAGGACAAAAGTGAGA